GTGAACGAGGTGGCTAGACAGAGTGCCATTTCTAACTCAGATGTAAGTATACAGTATATTACCTAATAAGCAAGGTCAACCATGTGGGTCTAAACTGCATCACAGGATCTAACTAAATGTCAAACTTTCTACTTTCTTAATTATTGCAAAGTTAATAAAGCTTAAAAATAGTGTTAAGAGAAAGAAGACAACAACAAATGGATTTATTTAGGGATTTTCACTGTCAGGTCACTAGAAAATGTCTAGTCCCTTTCATGTTATGCATTATCTGTCTCTGTAGGAATGGCACACAGAGCTCCGTCTTTTGTTGAGGGATCTCACCGACGTGAACGGAAGGATAAAGAAAGGGATTCCAGATCCCAAGTCGGAGGCAGGCGTGGCGTTCCTGAAGATTAAGGCGGTGTATGGGAGGATTGACACGTATGATGTACTGGTCCGTCAGTCGGTCGTAACAAGGTGGCTGGACAGAGTCCGGACCATTTCCCACTCTGATGTAAGTGTACAGCATTGCTGAATAAACAGGGTCTACCACATAGGGTCTTCTGGTTGAAAAGGAATGAGGAAGCACCTTATTTTTATGACGTTTTTCTGAGGGGTAATGCTGAAAATATGTAAATGCAGACAGACATGTACATATAGTTTATCACAATCGATTTTATAACCTTACTAGCACCTGAAAACTAAACTCTCATCCAGAAAAGTTTTGATTTTATGGTAAAACCTTTGTGTTATACTTTTTCACTTTTACTAACATAAAATATTCTAGGTACGTATCAAAATTTTAAAAATCTGATGTTTGCATAAAAATATTCTTTGATCTTGGAAAAAATCCTATCAAACTTAACTACCAATCAGATGCTTTAAGTATGTGAATTATATTTGCTATTTGTAGCCTAAGACCTTCAGGAATTCCATTGATGAGTACATAGAAACAGCTGACCCTGGTGCAGGAGGTCAGTTTTGGCCAATCGTAAAGAAGGTTACAGTTCGTTTACCTAACTGTGATGCCTGCAGCAGTGGAGCAGTACTGGTGGATCTACCAGGTGTGAGGGACTCGAACGCGGCCCGCGACAAAATAGCGCGAGATGTGAGTGGCTATTCAAATTCTGTAGTAGTTGTAGATATAATCAATTCTGTGAGCTATGTCTTATGTAAATTCTTTTGGATTGTAGTTTTTGAGAGACATATTAAGACCCTTAGAATGTTTGTTTTCAGCATTTGAAGAACTGTACTGCCGTGTGGGTTGTGTCCTCCATACATCGCGCCATTGATGAGAAGACAGCTAAGGACCTCCTGGGAGAGAATTTCAGCAGACAGCTGTTGATGGACGGACAGTATGGAAACATCGCATTTATCTGTACAAAGACCGACATCATCAAAAACTCCGAAATCATCAGGTACCCCAGGATACATTTGTCAAAGTTCTATAAAAATGAAAGAATTTGCTTTGTAGTGTAACATTTCTGGGAAAATGAGTAGTTGATCTTTACAAATTTTTCTTTCATTTAATTTCTGCATTTACATGAAAATTAGATACAGTGGACCCTCATTTATCCCGACACTTTGGTTCTCAGTCAAATTGTCCGGATATGTAAAGCATCCGGATACCTGAATCACCAGTTAAACAAGACAAATAAATATAAGTTAAAAAATTCTGTTCAGATGAAAAAATCATCCGAAAACTGAAGCATCCGTATATCTGGCGTCTGGATATCTGAAGGTCCACTGTATGTGTTTATTGTTTATTGTGTTTAAAATTGTGTTTATTTACATGTAGTTCTTTACTTAAGGGACAATACAAGCTGATAATGATATAATTTGTTGTTTATAGAGGGCTGAATCTTCGGGAGGAAGTAGAACCTCTGGAGGCTGAGATCAATCGTCTGGAGATGGAGAAGAACGATTTAGAGGACAGTAAGACGACCAACAGGCAGTGTATGGAGCAGCTGAAGACAGAGAACCGGGAACTGAGACAGAACATCGAGGAGATAGAGGAGTGTCTGAGGACCGAGGACGTCGAGGGCAAGGAGGACTCACAGGAGGTCAGATTACAGCAAAACATAAACTAAGTTAACTCTTATTTATCAATCATCTGTCTATCTCAGTTTTAACCAATGGGTCAATCATAAATAGGTTTGGGCAAAAATGTTGATATTTTAGTATGTTGTAATACATACCATGACAAAAAAATATTGTTTTGCAATATGTTTGTATACGTTAATACTGATATGCAGGAAAGACATGAGAAAAGATGTCAGAATGGTTTGTGATTAAAGTAAACCGTAAGACAGTAGACATTATACAGAGAAGTTGGATTATCAATATCTATTTTGATATTTTCAGGTCAAAGAAATAAAGGAAGTGCTGATTGAGAAGCAGGAAGCAGTCAGAAAAGATAAGGAGCTGATACAGTCGTACCGTAAGTCTATCACAGAAGCTGACAACACCTGTCTACAACACGAGATGACCATCAGTCAGAAGAGAAAGGAACTGTCCAGTCTCTGTGCTAAGGCTAGGAATAACTATTCCAAAAAGGAAATCAAACGAGACTTCAAGGCCGGACTAAGGGTACTCATGTATTCCATGTTGTGATACCTAATTTCTCCATATATTGATACATGTGTTATTGTGCTTCAAGAATCATCTATTTATTTTATGACTGTAATTACTGTAAATCACTAGTACATATCCTTTTTCTGACAACTTCACTTTTGTACTGTTGCCTAGTTTTGCATTTATTTGCACAAGTTGAGATTATTTATAACAAAAATTTGTGAAATATGCCAAATATTTTACATCATGATTTATTGGACATGCACTTATAGTTATCATGTGTCTATGTAAATTTGTATCTAAATAGAGTAAATATATGTATGAGATATGGACATAAAATGCATGTATAATCTAAGAACTATTTTGGAATTATTGAGATGGCATATTTTCCCACAGGAAATGAAGAGGAAGGCTGGGATGTCTGACGTGGAGGAGATGGATGATGATGATTTATATAACAGTGAGGATGATGATGAAGATATCGGATCATCAGCGGAGAACCTTAAGGTGTTCTGTGTCAGTGCTAACGAGTACCAGAAAATGAGGAACATCATCATCGACGACGGACCCCCAACAGTACGTTATCAGGCATCATTCTGTTCTAGTTCAGGATTTTAAAAAATTCTATTAAACTTCAGAGGCCTGTTCAACAAAGCAAATGTAGGCGAGTGTGAACCAAATATAATACATGTACCTCCAAAAGAAATGTTTAGGAGTGCTCGCATTGTTGAACAAGCCTATTGATTTTTCATAGAACGCAATTATGGTACATATGTAGACTGAGCAAAATAATTAAAAAGCATATTTGTGTGGTCCTGAATGATTTGTTTACATTCAAGATCTAGAAAATCGTAATTTTAAGCACAATTTTTGCATTCTTCAAATCATCTTCCACTCTTGTAAGAAACTTGAAAAGCATTTTGGATGAGGGGGCAGCTTTGGCTTTGCTATTGTAGGTGTTTAGTACAGAAGAGGACACACAGATTCCAGCCTTAAGGTCGTACATCCACCAGATGACCGCTGTCCGACACCGCGGCAGTGTAGAGAGAATTCTACAGAGGGTGGCTCAGTTTGTGTTTGACGTACAGAATTACCTCAATGAGGATGGAACCATCCAGGTTACAGCTGAAAATTCATTTAGTCTTGATAAAACTAGTGCTAGTGTTTTAGTGGGTGCAATGTTTTACTTAAAACTTAATTTTATCATTACTTGCTTAAGTTGTATTGTCTATTCTATAATTAATTACAAACAGAAAAACAAAACCAATATTCAGTTTCAGAAAATAGTAAAAAGACCTTAAGTTTAAAGATGTATTGTTCTTGTATTATTATTTTTTCAAAATTTTCCCCTTCAGTATTCAGACATATAGCTGATAGAGTTTTTAGCTCTTCTGAGCCAAAGGCTCAAAGAGCTAATGCTATGGCCATTTGTGCGGTGTGCGTTAACTTTTTAGAATATGGACCATAACTCAAGAACCCCTTGGCCAATCAGTACCAAATTTGTCACAGGGTATCCTTGGCCCAAGGGCTACTATTTATACTAAAATAAGGATTGGGACCCTTAAACAAGGGGAGATAATCAGGAAAACAGAACCAAAAGTACTGGTTGCTAAAAAATCTTCTCCAGAACCACCTAACATATTTTCACCAAACTTACATACAAGGATCAGGATATGTTGAAGATTAAAAAGCATGACCCTGGGGCAAAGGGCGTGGTCTCAAGGTCACTTCAAAGTTGACCTAAATTTAAAATTAATAAAAACGTGTATATTTTTCTTACTATAAGGACTAGAATCATCAAATCTTGTAAGTTGATGCATCTTACGACTTCACATCATGTTAACTCAAAAGTAAGTCACGGTGACCTACTTTTTAAATTTTGCGGAGATTTGTTTTCAAATTGTTTAAAATGCGTATTTTGATTACTTTCAGATAGACCTACGATCATCAAACTCGGTCAGTAGATGCATCTTGGGTCCTTGAAAAATGTCAACCAAAATGTAGGTCATGATGAACTTCTTTTGACATTTTATGGCTATATTTCAGTATCTTAGGCATTTATTGGCTTAGAATCATCAAACTTTGTGAGTGGATGCATATTTAGTTTCGGAGAGTGCCGACCAAAAAGTAGGTCATGGTGACCTACTTTGACATTTTATGGCTTTATTTAAGTATCTCCGGTACTTATTGGCTTAGAATCATCAAACTTTGTGAGTTGATGCATCTTGGGTTTTCGGAGAGTGACGACCAAAAAGTCGTTCACAGTGACCTACTTTTGACATTTTTTGGCTATTATTAAGTATCTCTGGTACTTATTGACCTAAAATCATCAAACTTTGTCAGATGATGCATCTTGGGTTTTCAGAGAATGTCGACCAAAAAGTATGTCACAGTGACCTACTTTTGAATATCTCAGGTACGTATTAGCTTAGAATCATCAAACTTTGTCAGTTTGGGCACCTTGAGTTTTCGGAGAACGTCGACCAAAAAGTAGGTCACAGTGACCTACTTTTGAATATCTCAGGTACGTATTAGCTTAGAATCATCAAACTTTGTCAGTTTAGACACCTTGGGTTTTCGGAGAACGTCGACCAAAAAGTAGGTAACTGTGACCTACTTTTTACATTTTATCGCTATATTTAATTATATCTGGTATTTATTGGCTCAGAATCATCAAACTTTGTCAGTTGATACTGTTTCATTGAATGTCCAACAAGAAGTAGGTCACGGTAACCTACTTTTGAATATTTCAGGTACTTATTGGCTTAGAATCAGGAAATTTTCTCAGTTTAGGCATCTTTGATGTTTGGATAATGTCGTCTAAAAAGTAGGTCACCGTGGCCTACTTTTGACATTTGATGGCTATATTTAATTATCTGGAACTAATTGGCTTAGAATTGTCAAACTTTGTCAGATGATGGATCTTGGGTTTTCAGAGAATGTTGACCAAAAAGTAGGTCATGGTGACTTACTTTTGAATATCTCAGGTACTTATTTAATTAGAATCATCAGTCTTTGTCAATTAATGTATCTTGAGTCCTCAGAAAATTCCAATCAAAAGGTAGGTCACTTTGACCTACTCATGGTATTTGATAATTATTTTATAATATCTTTAGTCTTAACTGGCTAAATACATGTGTTATCAAACTTTGTAAGTTGATGCATTTTGGGTCTTATGATACTAATAGAGTTGGAGGCTTCTAATAGAAGTGATAGATTGTACAATTTATCAGAAGAGCGATTCAAGGCCCTTGGGCCTCTTGTTTTTATCATTATGCCCTTTAATTATAGACAAAGGAAAAAAAGAAGAAATCACAAAGTGCCATTGAGCAGAGGACACAACTCTTGTCACAGAAGTTTGATTCCTTGATAAGAGATCTACAGCTGGACATAGAGAAGGCATTCTCCAATCAGATTAGACCTAAGTTAGGAAAGGGTATCACCGAAGCTTCCATGAAAGCCAATGAACAAGCAGCAAAATGGGGATCACCGGTATCTTTAATTGAACATCTAAAATGTGTTATATTTTTTTTAGTACAGTAACACAAGCATATAGCCAACACATTTATAATGATTTGATGCTTACAGCGAATTGATTTAAAAGAAAATATTTTCCGTTGATTGCTATTGTAAAAACACAAGTTTTACCAAAACTATGGAGTTATCTCTCATTTTTTTTTCCCAAATAAATATTTTTTTTTTATGAAAATTTATATAAATATCTTAAGGAAAAAAAATATCTATTTTTTTCCACGGGGTTTTAAAAATCTCAATTTCTGTTGAATCCGCATGTAGAAAATTTCCTAGACTGTCACTATATGCCTTACATTTATATTAAGTATGCTTGAAGAAATTTCCGTGGAAAATTTGTTACCGCATACAAAGCGTAAATTATACCAGCTGAAAAAAGTACTTCTACAGCATTAAAAATCAATCAAATATGTTAACTTTTAAAAATGGACTTGGAGGTAGGCAGGAGAACAATATATATTTGTTCCTACTACAACCCTTTGACTACTTTTAAATCTTTAAATATTGAACTGTCAGATTTCTACTTGACTTTTTTTACCTAAATACTCAACTGAGAGATGTGGATCATGGACCTCATGATTAAATTAATCCTCTTGATTTCATTGTAAAATGGAAAATTACTCCAGGAAATATGAGTAATCCCATCTGTGCCAAATCTTAACTGCTTTGCATGCATTTTGTTCTCGTAAGAAAAACTTTTTAATTCATTCCAGGTGAATAAAGAGAACAAACAGGCCGGGGGGTTACAATTCTGTGCGTACCGAGCCACGGTACAGAGACATGGGGTGTTCCAGTCCCCCACGTATGGACCGGTCAATTTTAACGAGGACCTTACGGCTCCTATGTATTCAAGGATATCCATTGTGTGGGATAAAGTCTTCAGGTAAGCCTAAAAACAATGGAGCCCTTTAGATTAATTTTAAGTTAGTAAAATCTGAACATTATATTAAGTATACAATAGATGTGACTGTGGCTGTTTGAATGATTAAGATCCCTCCCTGCTCAATGGCCCTGAGTGAGGTGTATAGGTCAAAATTTGCAGCCCTCCACAGGAAAATGGGGGAATTTCCATATGAGTGAAAATTCTTAGGAAAAATGTGAAAAATCTCATCAAAAACAGCAAAGCTATGATTAGTCATATTGATGTGAAAGCATCCTTAGATTGTTAAGATTAAAGTTTGTTCAAATCATGATTCCTGGTGGTAGGGTGGGGGCACAATGGGATAACAAAGTTTTCCATAGGAATATACAGGGGAAATTCGTGAAAAATATTCTTCTGAAGAGCAGCAAAGCCATTATTAGTCTTTTGGATATGGAAGTATTTTCATTTAGTGTAGGTTTAATAAAACATAACTACAGTGGTAGTTTAGTGGAACATTGTGGGATTGCTGAAGAGGAAAGGGACTGTATTGATTGAGGTGAGCGATGTGACCCATGGGCCTCTTGTTATTGCTTGTGTCAGCGTTTAGCTTTGATTGCTTTCAGTGGAATACTGTGGGGTGACTTTGAGAAGTTTAGGACAACAGTACTGACTTCACTGAAGGAGTTTATTCAGATCCTGATTCAGGATCTTCATACACACGTTGTACAGCCCAGCAGTACACAGAGGGTACAGGCCTACATCTTAGACAATGCAAAGCATCAGGTCAGTCAATGCAAATTATAAATAAGTTTGACTTTTTTTTTTATGTTCCAACATGTATTTAAACTAGAGGGAAATCAACATGTTTGTAAATAAATTTAAATAAATTCATATAATTCTTGTAGTTGACAGAGATGGTGGCTGCTCTTAAAGAATTTGTGACAGAGAGACAGAGGGATGCCAATCGTGTTCTGACACCTGTAGTACAGGTAAGCTATAATGACACCTGTTATACAGGTAAGTTGTTCTGACATCTGTAATACAGGTAAGTTGTTCTGGCACCTGTAATACAGGTAAGCTATATTATTATACTTTCATGTTAAATACTAAAATCTGATTGGTTTAGATGCAGTTAACAATCAATTCTATTACCCTCAGCCTTAGCAACACACGTGACAACGGGTAACACAACGGTAATGCTACATGCGGGAAATTATGCGCGTACGGTTCACCGTAGAATTCTAAAAGCGTCAGTTGCACGTTTGAAAGAACCGGAATAAACCTAACGTCAATAAAAGCATGTGTCCGATGTAGCTTACTTGAAAACAACAACAGACTGACGAAACATGCTTGCAAGTGCAGAAATAACGAAACTTTAGATGATAAAGGACTCAAAGAAACAATAAAGAGGTCAGTAAATCTTTTCAAAGAAGCGGGGAGTTTGAAAGCTTTCTAAACGTGAACGTAAAGACGATCGACGATTTTTTTTTGCTGACATCTTAAATCAACAAATCATTCAGTATAATGAAATAAATGGTGCCTGTTTTGGAGGGTAACAGTTGAAATTGACACCCCTCGGAAAACCATTGTCAACCTCCGCTAACGCATCGGTTGACAATGGTTTTCCTTTGGGTGTCAATTTCAACTGTTACCCTCCAAAACAGGCACCATTTATATAATGACACTTGTAATACAGGTAGTTGTTCTGACACCTGTAATACAGGTAAGTTGGTCTGACACCTGTAATACAGGTAAGCTATAAAGACACTGTAATACAGGTAAGCTGTTCTGTCACCTGTAATACAGGTAAATTTTTTTTGTGAATAGTGTAAAGGAAAATACTGTCAAGGTACTGGGTAACTGGAGTAAGGGTCTGAAAAGTACTCAGATTTGATTGAATAGCTATAGCCTACAACACTGAGGAAAATATAGGAAAATAATTATAAGATAAATTTATATATCTATCTTTTATATACATGTATATTCATGATAATGAATTTTTACATTAATACATGAATAAAGTAAATTGTTGTTCCAGGAGAACATGACTCCAACCTATGACGCTTGTGCCGCAGAGAGTGGACCGGGAGCCTACCAGAGAATGAAGGACGGCATGGCGGCAGGAATCGACAGAGGGAAAATCTATATGTTTGATGACGCCTCTCGCAACCTGCTGCAGGAATTGGAGCAAATCAAGGTAGGGGGATTCCTAACATAGCTTTGACAACATTCACCCATACAAATACTGACTGTGCAAATGAAGATTGAATTTTTCCATTGTGTTTTGACTATAACAAGAATGATCAAGTACATTTACTGTATAGATTCAAATTACGTTTGATTTTGAAATTACCTTTTAAAACAGATTAAATAAGTCATTTTAATTCTGCATACAGGGAAATTTTTGCTACCGTTTTATTTTCAACCCTTTTGTCCTACTTACAGTTGGGCGAATTCAAAATGGGGCGAATTCAAGGAACACAGTTTGATTTCTTAAACAAAACTGTATCTGAGCGAAATCAAAACGGGGCAAAATTGTTTGCAAGTATGAAAGGGCGAAAATAACACGACGCAAAAATAACCCTGTATACAGTAAGAGGCTTTAAATTCAAGTACAGTTATAAATTGTACATGAACATTTGCCTTGGCAATAAGCAGGATAGTTGTGTATTTATGAAGGAAATGAACTTTAGATGAAAACATCTAATTCAGGTTCAAGTAACGGAGAAAGTACGGGGAGTGTGTCGTGGTCTTTGCTCGGATCTACAGGTGGCTTTTGAGCCCCTTTGGGAGGCCCCTGGGACCTGTGTGGAACTGCGAGACGTACTCCTACCATGTAAGGAAATAAACAAAAGCTATACCTCCCAGTAAATTGATGCCTTCCATCACAAGAAATGATAAAGGTTTCTTTCTCAACCAAAAGACACACATCTCTAGTGACTATACCTGTATGTTGTAGGTGTTGGGGAGATTTCACTCCAGGTGCGCACCATAATGGAGGAAGCCGGAGTGAGGGTACCAGTAACTAATACAGGGCCACCTCCTGTCACAACCACCAACGGGGCTCCTGTCCAATCAGAAGTCACTAATGCACAAGGAAATCAGGTCTGTCTTTCAAATTTAAAATGTTATTAATTTTCATATACTATTTGAGAAATCTTTACAATCTGCCAAACATTTTGAAAAAGTCAAGATTACATTCATGGTAGGGATGTATTATGCTGAGGTGTCAGCCATTTTTTAAGAAACTTTTCTAGTTTTATCTCACCAAAATATTTGTTTTATTTTTGTTATTATTTAAAGATGCCTTGAATTGTTTGACAAAGAGCAAAGCTTCTGTTACATTCTTAGAAACGTTTATTTGGTTCTTTATTTCCCTAGGGTATACAGAGAACAGATGGGAACTCGTCAGAATTGCCGCTGAGTTTTGTTCTTGAGGAACTTCAAGCCGGATCTTCTGATTCTGAACTTTTAACCTCCATCAAAGTGGAACCATCACTGTGTGTGCCCAAAATCAAGAAAGAAATGACAGGTAATGACAGTAATTCAGTATAGAGAAGATAGATTCCTCTTTAGTAATTACCAACAGAAGGTCTGAACCCCCTATCTTTAAAAGCGACACAAGATTTATCTTTCAATAAAGTTGCTTGCATTGTCCAGTTGACTTGGATGAAAAATTAAATTTCTTGTTGCTCTTGTAAAATAATTATCCATAGAAAGTTTTAAAACTCCTGAAAAATATTAATGTACATGTATTAAGTTTCATAAGGTGTAGTTGTTAAGTAAAATATAATATAAATTAGAGATAATGCAAAACTTGGGTATGTGCAGTGACTTGGTAAACAAATTTTGCAATGGAATTCCCACAACACATGTAGTCCAAAATCTCTGACCCTGGGGGTTTAAATAAAGGCTAAACAAGTCCAAAAGCAACAAATTTACTGATTACACACTGATTTGTTTTTTCAGTCTCTACCCAGAATGCCACACCAGTCCGATTTTCCTCTATTAAATCGGAACCCTCGTCTGGTATACAGGTTTGTTGTTTTTGTGGACACCCCGGGACAAACCCAGGTGAATGTGATAAGTGTCGTGTCCCCCGGCGCTCCCCCCAAGGTATCCTGTTCAGGTGTTGTCAATTTTGTCACATGATGGGAAAGAACATTCACATCTGTGAATTCTGTAAGCGGTGTCGGCGATGTTTAAATGTCGTCACATCTCCTAAGCAACAGTGTGAAATCTGTCAAGGTAACGGTCTTAAGTGATTTAACTCAGCTCTTCTACTGAACAAATTATATTATGTCTGGTTGTTCATGAATAATTCATTTCTTCTAAAATACACAAAAACAAAAAAAGTAAATTCATTCTTATTTCAATAATCAATTATACGGAAAATTATTATGACATGTATTTGCCCTATCCTTAAAAAAATGTTAATAAACGATCCAGTGTTTCTTATTTTTAAAGCTCCAAGATCAAGGATTCCAGGATCTACTAGCAGAGTTTCCACAAATCATCAAAATGTATCCCACACCATCACCTCAGCTAGTGTTCAAACAAATCAACCGTCCACTTGCCCAGTAAGTACAGATCATCACAGTGCCAGAGTCAGTGATGGATCGTCTATCAAAGTTGCGTCCTCCACAATCCCACCAAATGTTCAGCACAATTCCTTCCCGGGCAGCACATCTTACCTAGGTATGTCTTCCATACTTCCACCAAATGTTAGTCAAACCTCCAGTACAGCTCGCCACCCATCGACACAAGCCTACAATGGCAGGGGTCAAGGTGACCATGCAGTGCTTACAAACAGTGGCAGGGGTCAAGGTTACCATGCAGTGCTTACCAACAGTAGCAGGGGTCAAGGTGACCATGCAGTGCTTAATACATTAAAGAGACTAGCTGATAAAGTGGGGTCACCCAAACATCTGCTGTCTGCTTCCCAGCCTGTCCAGCATGGCAGAAACATGACCCCTTTTTCTCAGGGGTCAACCTTATCACAGACAGGAAGTCTTACTCCACTGTCGAGTAAGCAGACGGGGAATGACGTACGAGGTGGTACGCCATATAGCAGACTTAGCAGCAGCCAACAAACTCATCAGAAAGATCAGAAACATGCCCTGAAAACACTCTCCAGAGTGCCAAAAAATTGTAAGTAATCGGTAACTACCGTAAATCTGGAAATTTTTATTGTAGATAAATTTTTAGCAAATTTGCGCGTGCATTACATTCGCAAAAATATTTTTCTTAAAAATAAATCAACATGTGAAGAATTTTTTTTCTAAGAGCTCGTGTCTTTTTTTAACTCAGAGAATAGGCGTCGGTAAACACTGGTCATTTTCAAAAGAAACCTGTTTATACTACTATAACTACAAGTTAATTACCCGTGACTGTTAATTGCCCTCAGTATATGCAATACCGTCCGATGGTTTGACAAGCACTGAGGCGGTATGCCCCTTTTTAATTATTTTGCCGATAAAGAGAGAACTGTTATTTTATCTAACCGTGTATCAACACGGGCGATAACTCGAACTCAGTGCATTTACTAGAGAGTTCCAAATGTAAACACGGCGAGTAAATTTTAGGTGAGAAAAAAAACAAACGTTGAGAAAATTAGTTATATTTTTAACTTCATTTGGATTATATTTTAGGTTAAAAGGCATACACAACCTCTAAAATGTTTGCTATAATCAATTAAGAAGTTATTTTCAGTGCAAATCCTTTAACATGTATTTTATCAAAATTGTTTCAGAGCGATTCTGCAATTTCTTGCCACGTTACGAGTAAATTGGTGGTATTCTGACTGTGCATACTAATTTGAAACAATACCTGGTTTGAAAATCTTCAGTGATTTTTATTTTTAGTGACAGTGACAATTCGCAAAAATTTGAAGCGTAAAAATTAATCAACAGCATTTTGACCCAAATTCGCAAAAATAAATCGACGTAAAAATTTCCAGATTTACGGTATGACATGAAGAAACTATGCAATTTCTACATGTATACTTTTTTTTACTCCAAAGGAAAGAATAACCACTGACAATAATTGCAAAAAGTATGAAATGATTCAAGAAAATTATTAACATCTATTTAGTTTTTCACGTTTAATCTCAATATAGTAAAACACTATTATTTTTAATGTATTTTAATGCATCTTCGCTAGCCAAGGGTTTCTGATACGCTACTCTCCTCATGAACCCTTGGCATACGGTGAAGTCAAAAGACGGGATTGTTTTTGTCACGTGATTTCCATCAGGTACGCACAGATTGCATCATCGAAAGAAATAAAGACACATTTTTAAAAAAATTAAATAAAGGTTTTTTCAAGAATAATTAAGAAATAATTGAGTTATGTTTATTTATTATTTATAGTACAAATCTGAATCTTCAATATAGATTTGTAATCACATATTTAGAAGATATCGGATGACAGCATAGCTATTCATAGAATTGCATGTTATCTTACGGATAGTTGTTTACTAGTGTTTTTCATTCCCGAGATTAAAGAGTCAAGAAGTCTCCCGAACGCAAATATCGTCATTTACAAAAAAACAATCGCTGATAGGTCGATCGGGTGTACTGAATCCCAATCAGAACTTAAAAAAAAAACCAAGTTCTATCAACACCGTTTGCCAAGGGATTATGAGGAGAGTAGCGTATCAGAAACCCTTGGCTAGCGAAGATAATTTTAAAAGTGACAATTTGTAAAAGTGGTGTTTTTTTTTAATGTTAGATTTGCCGAATATTAACTTTACATAGTTTTTATTTGATTCAGTAGGATTTAAGGACATGAGGTATAATCCATGAGGAAAGAGTGGATTTGTGAAGCTGTAGAAGAAAGATGTACACCACAAACTAGTGGAAGTTGTATTGGTTGTAGTGGATGGCACGGATGTTACGTGGAATTGGTTGTAGTGCTTAATTCAGTGCTTTTATACAGATGCTTTTTTACTTTTACAGCTTTTTCAGTCATTGTCAAAAAATTTTAAACTCTGCTAAAAACTGTTTGAGCTATATTGCTGATTAAGTTTGTATAAACTGATGGTTTTATATTGTAAATACTTCTGATGTTTTCTCACCTTTTAAAAGTGTTGAAATAAACTTTATTTTGTTAAATCTATTAGAGATCTGTAAATTAAATACCTGAAGGTTGTTGATATTTTGACTTTTTTATGGTTAATATTTTTTCATGTTACTTTTTCATAAATGGCAACTGTATTAAGTTAAATCAATGTTTATGGTCGGGTCAAATTTTTTCCACTGTCAAAGTATTCTAAAAAATCACAGTTCAATTTATAGGAGTTGGATTGAGTTAGGATTTACTTTGGAGAAATGAACTAATTTCTTGCATTTATATATTAAGGTTACCTGTTTGCAATCTGTTTTATATTTTATTGTGCACATTTCCATAAACTATTCAATATTTTAGACTCTGACACTTCAAACATAATTTTGTGAAATTTGGTATATGATATTAATGGACAGAGAATTAAGAGAAATTTGTGAAGGGAAATGAGTTTGATGTAACAATTTTTTTCCAGAAGTGTAATTATTTTCATGTTGATAAAGAATGAGTTCAGACTTCTTTTTTAAAAGCAATTAATAGATTTTACATTTATTTTCCTATCATTTAAAGAGTGGAGTCTAAACTCAATAATATTCATTCAATTAAAATTTAAAACTCCAATAAACCAATTTTCAACTAGATATGTTAAACTGTCAACTTAAAAAACTAATTATCAATTAATAAGTTTAATGAAATAAGTAAATCAAATGGGTTAAAAGGACATTACTGACAATATTGGTTAAAAAAAATATATTGCCATGAACTTTGAAAACAGAATGTATCAGAGAGGGAAGTATCCTCACCTTGTATGCCTGTGTTCTTTAATGCAGTGTAAAAATATCTTTATTGTCCACATATTTGCCCTGTTCTCAAGGGTGAATTTAGATGATGATTGTGCTTATTCTGTTGGAGTAGAATAGTTTATTGTACATACCGTAAAGTAATTAGTACATAACCTTATATCTAACATATATACATGTATAGTAGGATCGTGGGTGTTATTCTTCAAAAGCACAAGTGAGTGCAGTGTCCAATTGAACTGTTTTATGTTTTAATGTTTTATTTTTAAAGACAATGCTAAAACTTGTGTGAAAGTTACCGTAAGTAATATTCATAAAATTTGAGATTTTTTGCAGTTCAGTGTTTGGTTAGTTACTCTGATGGATTAAAACTTTGCCATTCATTTGTATTACCCCCCAGTAGTAAAAAAATCATTGCAAATTAAGGCAAGCATGAGTGTATCTGATATGCAAACATCCCCATATTTGCCTATTTTTTGGAGGGGGAGAGTGTAAGATTTCAGTACCAGTAACAAGGCTTCATTTTCATAATCTAAACATAAAGAAATGAACCTTTTAATGTAAATCATTCATGAAGCTAGATGTTCCATTTGTTCTGTAGAGAAGTGTAAATCAGGTGAACTTTGTAGCCCATAGCTCTCTTGATGATATGTGAATCTAGTCCCTATTTCTTCATACAACAGTCAGAAAGTTGTCATGTTACTGGACATGTTACTGTTATCTACATATTCTTTAGCTAGTTTCTGTTTTTCATTGCAATATGGATGGTGCTTTCATTTTATTGTGTTCTGTTAATGCAAGTGTAAGGGTCAATCTCTTCAGTGTTAAAATTAATAGATTGATATTGCTCCATGTAATCATTCACTTTATGCTTTTTCCATGTAATCATTCGCTTTATGCTTTTTCAAGAGTTGTTCATACGTTTTACATATTTTATGGTGCTATTAAACCAGCTGATAAAAGCATGTTTACTATTTTTGATCTTCATGAAAAGGGGCATTGGTAAGACTATATGTCAAGTGTTCTCCATGGAGAGGTCAAAGGTGAAGGAGAGTGCTTATTGTCAATATATCAAGGACATGTACTCTCTTCGGAGAGGTCAAAGGTGAAGAAGAGGGCTTATTGTCAATATGTCATACTCTCCATGGGAGGAGAGTGCTTATTGTCAACATGTCACACTCTCTATGAAGAGGTCAAAGGTGAAGGAGAGTGCTTATTGCTAATATGTCAAGTACTCTCCATGGAATTGTCAAAGAGAGTGCTTATTGTCCATATGTCAACTATTCTCCATGGAGAGGTCAAAGGTGAAGGAGAATGCTTATTGTCAATATGTCAAGTACTTTCCATGGAGAGGTCATAGGTGAAAGGGGGTGCTTATTGTCAATATATCACATACTCTCCATGGAGAGGTCAAAGGTGTAGGAGAATGCTTATTGTCAATATGTCAAGTACTTTCCATGGAGAGGTCATAGGTGAAAGAGGGTGCTTATTGTCAGTATGTCAAGTACTCTCCATGGAGAGGTCAAAGGTGGAGGAGAGTGCTTATTGTCAATTTGTCAAGTACTTTCCATGGAGAGGTCATAGGTGAAAGAGGGTGCTTATTGTCAGTATAACAAGTACTCTCCATGGAGAGGTCAAAGGTGTAGGAGAATGCTTATTGTCAATATACCAAGTACTCTCCATGTGTACTGGTCCTTCTGTGATGATTATGGCTGGCATCAAATGGGCAAATCGGACCACTTCCTCCAGGGATTAGTGTATATTTCCTTTCAGTTGTCATTAAGAATTAAATTTTGAAAAGCTCAAGAATCTGGTACGGCTTTAATAATATGTATTTGGAGATAACGCTTCAATGCCGAAGTGTTGATCCTTTTGATAAAATTAAACATAAAATAGACTGAAAGAGTAAACATTTTGATTTCAAAATTTCATAC